ATTAAGGAGGTCTAGAGTTATGATTTCCCCTATTGTCGGAATCCTTCCCGCTATGTCTTCTATAATTTCGCCTAAGTATTATCTACCGATCATGAGCACTCTTATTACCGTAAATCTCTCCCGAGTAATTACGATAATTTACTAGACGCGCTCTCCCGAGCTACGCTAGCTGACTTTTAATACAACTCACTTCAGATCGCACCCAAGGCTTCGTTATCCCTAATCCCGCCTTTAAACCCTCGGTTATTGATCCCTCATATACTTTGGGAGTGGTGTTGTTCAACAATTACCTAAATATGCACTCTCTCCCGAGTTATGCATACTAAATAGGCACATCTAATTGAGAGCTCTTCAATCAACCAGAATATAAACGTAGTTGAACAAATAGAGAAAAGCTATGGCTCAATTATATAAAAACATAACAAGAATTTATCCTACAAAAGGTTCTATCAAAACTCTAGATAACAAATTAGCTATTCATAATAGTATGTAAAACTACAATACTAAAAGTCATAACCAACAATGAAAAATAAGAAGAGGAAGGAAAAAACTCGTAGAAGAATTCTCCGCCTTGCTCCCAATGTGTTCTTGCGTCCTTAAGTCGAATCTATGTCCAAAATATGTCCCCTCTCCTTTCTTGGCCGGCTTGCTTGGTTTAATATAGGGTTTAGGGCTTAAAATCCCTTGTTTTGCACATAAGTCCCTGAAATTTCCGCCTCCTACCGCGGTTTTGCCGCGGTCGCTGTGGAACCGCGGCCAAACATGCCCTCTGATTCTTCAGTTGTCCGCGACCATCTTCTACCGCGGTTCTGCCGCGGTCGCGGTGGAACCGCGGTTTTTCACCCTATTCCGTTTGGAATTTGGAAAAACGTAAAACATGAAAGTTGTAGCCCTTTGAGTTAGCTTTCCAACCATATATTGTGGATCCCAAATAGAGTTCTGAGAAAAAAGTTATGTCTATTTTACTAGACAGTGCGCAATATGCCTCCTCAAGTCTTCGTTCGTACTTAATTATCAAATTTGACCCCCGAACACGATCCCGGCTTAATTCCTTGAGCTTTTACTCAGACTTCAAAGCTTCAAATCACTTAAATTCATTTCATAACATCTATATAGCTCGGAATCACACCTACAAGGCATAAAACACACAATTAGTGCAAAACACTAGCGATTAAAGCGCAAACTCAATTAAAGTGCAGTAAATTCGAGTGTAATAAGCTACTAAAATATGCAATTATAGCCTATCATCATTAGTGTAGAATTTCAATAAAATAGGGGATGTAAGTTTAAATTTAAAATACAACGGATGAATCAGAAATTGATTAATAGTATAGGAGTATTTAGTGTCATTAACCGAAAAATTAATATAGAAATAATGTTAGCCAGCAGAAATTTTCTATTCTAAAATTTTTGCTATATGTTAGCTTAAAAACCAGCGATAAATTTTGTTTTTTTTCATTGCAAACATAATTGGCTCATTTCACAATACTTTATAGTTTTTTTATTGTTTAGATGTTAATTTTAAGACTGAATAATCTTTTTTTCCATTTTAATCTTTGTTAATTTCAATTTTAAGATTGAAGATTATTTTTTGCATTTTAATATTTGTTATTAAAAATTTAATTAATTCTTAATTATATTATATTACTGTTTTATCTTATTTGTCTATGAAATTAATTTTTCATAACCGAATATTTTTAGACCATGTCTTGTCATGACTTTCATAGTCGAAGCAAAAATTTCATCTTGAATGTTTTGGCCTAATTTATTATGGTTAAAATATTATTATTACAATGGTAACCTCAAATGTAGATGATTATATTCATCTATAAAAAGTTTATTGATATTCTGAATCTGTTACTATTCATTTTTGTCTTGATAAAAAATTGTACAACTATTAAGCCAACTATTTGGCTTTCTTTCTAACTTCAAGAAAATTATCCATTAATTGCCGATTGTGTTAACTAATTTAATGTGACTAAAAATATTACTATGCTATAATAAGTTTCATTTGTGGTAAAAACTTATAAATAGCTACGGTGTTTTATGATAGTGATAAATTTGTGGTTATATCATTTATGACAAATAATTTTTAAAGTCAAATATAGCAATAGTTTATTTAGAACATAAAGCAAAATTATTTATTCAAATACAACATTTTATTTTAAACAATTTATTGTGACTAAAATTTTGGTTTTGCTACAGTAAATTTTAGCATGTAGCAAAAATTAGTAATTAGCTATGAAATTTTATCATATCAAAAGATCTGCGGCTATATCATGTCATCGTGACAAATAGTAATAGCTTTTGATAATAAACTATTGCCACGATATTTATAACTTGAAGCAAAAAGATTGTATTTTAGCTACAATAATTTGTTTCAAAAAACTTATTGTGTGGCTAAAAAAATTATTGTTGGCTACAATAACTTTTAATGCGTGGCAAAACTTATGAATAGCTACGAAATTATACCATAGCAATAAATTTATAGCTATTCAGGTAATTGTTTGCCACGATAACTAGCAATCATATAAAAAATGGAGGAATTTAGCTTTGTCAATTTAGTTTTTGTGGCTAAGAAATTTTAACGAATTTGTAAAAAGCCATGATATTCTTTTTTTGTAGCTATTATTAGGTACTAGCCACGAAATTTAGATTTGTAGCTGAGATTTCGTAGCTATAAATGCATTATGTTGTAGTTGTTGTTCCCCCCTTATAGTAGTAGAAAAAATAATTTTCACCAGAAGAAGGCAAGAACCTCGATATTATCATCCAAGGGAGATCAAGTAAACAAGAGATAGCAATTGTGGATTCACCGGAAATTAGGCTTTGTTAGCGAATTCGCCGGAAATTAGGGTTTGTTCTTGAACAAAGACGACGGAGTTTGGGGCTGAGCAACTTGATTCTCGGTTAATATATTTCAATGTATTTTCAACGTATCACGCTTGTATTTTCATTGTATTTCATTTGTCTTTTTTTTCATTGTAATTCAATGTATCTCGCTGTATTCCATATATTTCATTGTATTAACTGTCTTTTTTTCATTGTATTTCAATGTATCCCGCTGTATTCTATGTATTTTATTGTATTCACTGTCTCGCTATATGCCATGAATGTATTCATATATTTTTTTTAATTAATATAATTTATGCATTCAAACGTATTATATAATTTTTCTGAAGATTGCTATGTTTTGGGGTATTTTTCGGTTGAGAATTTTTTTTATACAAGGAAATACAAATTTTGTGTGTTATAATTGAGTTTGTTGAGTTATATTAGGAGTCTATTATGTTAATTGATTCACTTTCGGTTAAAAACAGTGTAATCCCCTGTTTCACGCCGTGAATACAGTCGGATACAATAATCTGTCCAGCTGTAATCCCATGTTTCACGCCATGAATACAGTCGAATACACTTGAATACAACAACTGATTAGCTGGACTTCCCTGATTCACGCCTATTTTTTCTACTGTATTCACGAATACAGTAGCTTAAATACATCTTATAACAACAGAAAACGTATCTACAATTCGTAATATGGGATAGTTATCTATAAATAGCTAATTATAAAAAAAAAATAGTGCTTTACGAAAATTTCTCACTACTCCATCTAACAAGAAGAGCAACTAAAATATCTGCCGAATGAATCATGCGAGCATTACAACAATGAGAGGAATGCTGGACGGTTTTAAGATAAAAGAATGAATCATTTCCTACTGATCCCTTAACCTAACCATGGTTAAAATATTTTTTAACTAAGAAAATTTTGTCCATTGAGTTTTAAGCAAGACACGTGTCTGTAAATCTAGGGGTATATTGAAGAATAGTGGAGCAAACAGTACTGGAGCAAATCCTTACCCTTTAATTTGGTGTCAACAAATAAATATTTACCATGATCCTATAGATCCCCAGACCCAATGAAGGAAAAAAAGAAGGGGTAAAAACCTGAAGCACAAGTAACGGTTGAGGGAGAAAGACCCTCCTCATTATTAGGATTTTGTTACCATTCTTAAGCTTACCATAACTGCACTACTCGCAGTTACTTCCCAAAGTAAATGTTGGGAGAAACTTTTATGTGGCAGGTTTTTTCTTTTTAAAAATGTGTTTATCGAAAAAATACCTTTTTTTTTTTAACGACAAACCAGAAAACATGTATATCTAAAGTATTCTAGTTTCATTACTACTGTAATTTTGCATATCTTTACGTTACGTCTTCTTACCATTCAATTTAATTTCTAACTCATTTTTTGTAAGTTCTTTTTTCCCGCAAATGGCTAGCTTTTGGTGCATGTTTTCCATTTCCCTTTTATTCATCGTAACAACGACACGAAGTTGAAAACTCAACTTTCTTTTAATTAATGTATTACCTTTTTAATTTAAGGAACCCCTTAGGTTTCAAAATCTTAATATTTAAGTGGATTAATATTTCAAAAGCTAATATAAATAAGTAGAACCAAACTATATCTTATTACTCCTAAAATGATACCCCGTGAGTAAAATATGAACTGACCAAGGCAAGAAAACTTATTAACTAGCGAAATATATTTGTTTCTTGAGCGTCCAAAAACTGTTTTAGAGAAAAAAGTTACTCATATTTAGTGTTTATTATTATCAATCTAATAAATATATCCTTACAAATTAAATTATTATCATAAATCATACTAGCAGTTAAATTAATATAATAATTTTATCTCAGTTAATATTTTAACCATGATAAAATTAATAAGCATTTAGTGCACGTAATTATTTTTATCCTAAAGTTTTAATAATGATTTACTGTATTCTCTTAAATGTTAGAGTGAAAAAAGGAAGGTTGAGACGGTTGAGAGAGCCCCTAATAAATGTGCACATAATTAGAGGATCAGTTAACATTCCCTAAAACTTATCCTCCATTAACTCTACCAGTAACTGCCCATTCCGCCGTCTCCTATATTAATTAATTAGTCCTAATTATATTATTATTATTAGTTTGTCAACCTCAAGTAAAAGGGAAAAAAAATCTTGTCTGTTAATTAGGTCTACTGTTGTTGAACAAGTGAGAAAAAGATTCATCAAGACACAGTATCTTAATTCCTCATCTCTCTCTCTCTCTCTCTCAATAAGGTAACTATATATCCTTTAACTAATTTTCTTATGCCATTTCTTACCATTACCACTTGATGTTCTTGCACTTTAATTAAGCTACTACTCATAGTCTCATGCTAAAGTTCTTTTTGTATACTAACCTTAAGCTCATGATTTTGTTTAAAGGGCCGGTACTGTTGTTAATTAATGGCTAGTCTTAGCTACTACTCCAACTCCAACTCCAACTTGGAACCAAATATGCAACAACTCAACGAGTTTCTTTTTGATTTCAACTATGACCAGAGCTATTTCGATCCATTTTTCGACTCCAACGAGTTTGTTTTCCCAGCATTAATGGAACCAAATTGTTTCGTGCCAGAAATCCAAGAGTACTACTCTGATTTTCAGATGAGCAACCCAAAACGGCAAAAAGTCTTTGAATTAGACAGCAACTGCCATCATCAAGATATAATAACTCAGGGTAATTTGTCCAATGGGCCAATCTATCAATCGTTTTCATTTCCAAGTCCGCCTGTTTTTAATAGCGGGTGCTGCAGTCATCAGGTGGTTGAAAAGAAAGGTAATAATAATGAGAAGAAGATGTCTGCACAGAGCATAGCGGCGAGACAAAGGAGAAAGAAGATTACTGAGAAAACGCAAGAATTAGGGAAGCTCATACCTGGTGGACACAGAATGAACACTGCTGAAATGCTTCAAGCTACTTTTAAGTATGTTAAGTTCTTGCAAGCCCAAGTTGGACTTCTTGAATTCATGGGATCACATCAGGTAAATATTATATGTTTTTTTTTTTTTTTTTTCCATTTGGTGTTACTTTTTAGCTTTTACCTTATAGAAGTTAATACATAGAAGTTGATAAGGTTCCCCTCCATTTTCCTCATGACAAGAGCATTTGTAAAATTAAAATTTTATTTAGGGATTGTTAGAATGAGACATTTATATATGCTAGCAATTGTTATATTGATTCATTTGTAATTAATTAGCAGGAGAATGGGAAATCATATGAAACACCAGATTTGCAAAAACTTGTTGGATCGGCCTTGGTTCAGGAGAAGTTATACTCAAGTGACAATTGCTTGGTTCCCAAAGTGTTCCTTGAAGAGCTAGACAAGAATCATGAATTCCAACATTCACAAAGCGTTCACCAAGTCAAGAAATTGATTACATGAAATGCTAGCCTAATTAAATATTGGAGATTTTAGGGGTAGTTTCAGTTCAATTACCTCTTGTTGTTCTTAGGTTAGCTAGCATTGATTTCGTTTTCTGTTAATTCAGTTCTACTAATTTATTTTCCTAGTTAGGATTTTATGTAATTTTCACTGTAAATCCCTCATTTACAAGGAATATAATTCCCATGTGATTGATTCTTTATTTTAGCTATTACCTCAGCTTGCATTAATTTTTTAATTTATATTCCCGGCAATGGGTTTGGCCATCCGACAAAAGAGGCTCTAAAATTAGACTTTTTTCCATGTTAAATCTTGTTATTTGAGAATGTGTATTCTAATTCATTTGAAACTAAATAACATATGAATAAAGCATCAGCTAGTTTATGCATGCACTCGATCACTCATTTGTCATTTAACAAATGCACAATACTTTTGTATGTTCTTTTTACCCGATGATGGCAGGCCCTTCTTCAAGACTGCCATTTCCCCGGCCTCCAATCATATCAGAAGAGAAGACTTGCAGTTTTAAGGATGAACCGCTTCGAGTCAATATACTCTTCAAGCACATTCAGGTAAATATGAATTGTGATTAACACAGAGCACTTTAGAACTGAGCCACGCCACTCCCCCATTTAGGAATTTCTTCTTGTCATGATATGATATCACTAGTTATAGTTCACTATCGACTGAGAGAGTAATGAGGCAATTTAGCAAAAAGTTTAGCTTTTTGTGCTTGTGATAAGACTTATATGCTTATGTCCCTGCTTTTCCAGTATTATGAACTAAATTGAGCACCAACTACAGCAGAAGAAAAAAGAAAAAGAAGAAGACGACGAAGGAGGAGTAGGAGGAGAAAGGGGCTGAAGTTATTTAAAACGTGAGTACAAGTTAAAAGTTTTTAAAATAAATGGGTATAGGTTAAATGGGGGCGATCAAATAGGGCGCCCCGTGCAATTTTTATACAAAAATATTGAATGCATGCAAGTACTGGTCGGCCATGTGCTGCCGAACTGCCGTTGCCCTTCTATAAATATGAGGTGATTCCTCTAAGTAAGGAACTTTACTCTTTCTTCAACTCTTTCTTTTCTTCATCTATCTCTCTAATCACCCATTTCCTCCACCTCTTTAAGCGCCAGAAAACGCCAAGCTCTTGCCAAAAACAACATACCCCCGTGCAATCCATATTCTTTAGCTTATAACCATGGCTAAAACTTCCAAAACGATCCCCAAAAGGGACAAAGCATCATCTTCTTCTGCCTCCCGGCCGGCCAGACCGGTGGTGCAGCCAACACTTGAGGAGATCGCTGATCGCTGCCAACTCCATGCTACTATAAAGTAGGAAGAGAGGATCGCAATAGCTTTTACCCGATATGAGGGTCGGGATCGAATTCCACAGAGAGCTAGAAATTGGAGCTGGGTATCCATCAAGACTAGAAACGCGTGCATGCTCTTAATTGATCTTCTTATCATTTTTGGGTTTTTTCAATTATGAACTACTATTATCAAACCACTAGTTGAAACTAAATTAAGCTACAAGATAATTGCTAAAGTTGTATCTAATGGAAAGAAAGGCACTAGGGTCGTGGCATCACCTAGGTGGCTAATTGACGGGTAGATGTTGCTAAGGTTCGATTGACATAATTGGGGCTTATGCTATAACCGTTGCACAATTTTACCCACTCTCACACCTGTCGGTAGAGAGAGTGATTTTGCCCAATTGACTCTCTCAAGACCAAATGGGTAGGCAAATTAGATCAAGCAACTAGGGTTCAAGTAGGGTGATTACTCTCTCGAGGTTTAACCCGTTAATTGGGACTATCATTTCTCATGAGTCCATCCCAATTCCTTGTTGGGTCAATTTTGGAGACTTAGACTCTCTTTCTCAAGAAGAGTAAAATCCACAAAACACAAATCAGTGTTTGCAACCACCAATTTATAGATTAAAACATAAAATCAACCCAAATAGCAAACACCCATAGTCAATCTAACCCTAGATGGCAACACCCATCCGCATTGCCCTTGAGCCCAGTTTCCCAACTCTCTGAACTCTCCTAGTGCGGCCGCATACCAATTTGTGCGGTCCGCACTAGGCCTTCTTCCCTTAGATTTCTTGGTCTTTGATACTTGAACAGGTTTCACTCCTTTTTGAGCCGATCTTTGACATTTCGTCACTTTGTCGATCAAACCTGCAAACAAGCACAACCTGTGAGCCTTTTGGGACTATTTTGTACAAATATATGATCAAAGCATAGGCAAGTAGGGGCATAAAACATGTTAAAATCCTAACTTATCAATTCCCTCAAACTTAAACCTTTGCTTGTCCTCAAGCAAACAAAATAAGACCCACCCCTTAAAGGAAAATTCAACTAATTCCAGTTGACCTAAAGTAACCTCAACAAGCATCAATTGGGACTAACAATTGCCCTCAATACAAATAGATCATTAACAACATTTAAACCTTGAAAACTATGGATCAAGTGTGACACAAGAGCATCAAGAATTGACTCATTACATCAAAGAACTCTCTCAATTACTTTGGTCGCTGTGGAACCCAAACTCATACATCCTCAACTCTCCCTAAGCAAACCTCACCTTTTAGAGTATAAGCACACAAACGGAGGTTAATGGGAGTTCACTCGTCTCTCTCAAGGAAAGGTCACAAATCCGGCTCTAAGTACCATATGCTTGACCCTCATGTAAGTATCCACTAATGCGAGCGTCATCCAGCTCAAGATCATATAGGGCTTTTGTGGAGTCAATGTGAAGGCTTTTGGTTGAGGGTAGGAAAAGTTGTTGGTCTATATGGGTTCCATCTTCCCTAAAGCACTTATTTTGATTCATTTTGGCACAATTCTCTTGACTCTTTTGAGTATTTCACTTTCTTTTAAGGGGTTAGAGAGACGCATTGTCACTCTTTCTTATGCAATTCAAAACATTTCTCCTTTTTCTACTTTTTCCACACCTTTTTTCACCTTTGTTTTTCCTTGAATCCCTTTTTATTCTTGTTCACATTGGGCTTTCTTTTTGTCTTTTTCTTTTCTTTCTTTTCATTGCCTTCCTTTTCTTTTGCTTTTGCACCTTTTACCACTTTGTTTCCTTTCTTGTCTCTCCCCCCAAACTTAGACTTTGCCATTACTCAAGGGAAGATTTGGGTGCCAAGAGAGGGTAGAATTCAGAACGGGTATAGGCTTGTAACATTGGTTCTTGAAAGAAGAAGGTTTAAGGCTCAAAAGGTTAGCTAGGGATTATCTCATTGGTAGGCTATGGAATTATTCAACTTATCATTTGGATCAAGGAGAGCCTATAATCACTTCTCAAGTCGAATTTCACTCAAAATTTTGCCTCAACAAACATTCAGGGCAAGTTCTAGACCATTGGCTCGGGACTTGGAATCAAAATTCAATTTCTCACCACACACACTCAAGGATTGCTAAAGACTTACAGTCGAGGGCCCACAACAACCTTAGACACAATTGAGCACACAATAGTCCCGAAAGACCACATGATGTTTGTTTGGTCAACACAAGAGTCTCAAGGTTACTACTTTCACCATCCTAAACACAACCACTTGTCTTTGACCATGGGATCAAAGGCAAATGTGCTAGGCACAAGTGAAGCTTTGCTTGAGGTACCCTAAACTACAACTACCCAAAAACAAAAATAAAAACGGACTCAAACCCTTAAGAAGGTTGTCACGCCATCTATCATTGGGAAGAGCCACCCGGTTCACACAAAACTCCACCTTTGGAAAGAACCGTGGCATTAAGAAAACCAAAGGCTTATTACAAGTGTCAAAACAAAACAAAAAAACTACGAGCCTATATAAGAAACTAAAAATGAAAAATTTTACGAAAAATAGAAAATAGAATGAATATGTACAAACGGGGAATGAATATACAACGGGGGATGAATATATACAATAATGTAACTTTATATACAGACCCAAAAAGAAGATAAAAAGTACGATGAAAGTAACTAAATGTAAAGTTATATACAAACCAACAGAAAATCAAAAGAAAACATAAAATAGTATTAATATTTACAGTCATCCAAAAATGAAGGGCGCACCCCCTCGAATAAAAGTTGGTATTATCCCCAATGCCAACTAACAAAATAAGCATAAAAAAGTATAGGGAAAGGATATGAAGACTCCCTAGGCCGTGTCCGTCTGCATGGGATCATCTGTGGTCCCCGGGTCCTCTATATGCATGGGAACCTCAGACTAGTTCCCGGTCTCCTGCTACTCAGCTGCTGGGATTGGGGCCTGGACCTGGACAGGCTGAATATCAGGGGCATCCTGTGGCTGACTGGAGGGGGCCTCCGGTGGGTCTGCTAACTGGATGATCACCTCATCTGCACTGGGGAGCTTCCTCTTCTTCCTAGGAAGCATCTGTGTCTGCTCCTGCTGTAGCTCTGCTGCTGGAGCTGGATCCCCAAATAGCAAGTCTAAAGGTAATGAGTCGGCCTTTAGCTTGTCCACATATGCTCTAAGCTCCTTCACAGACTCCTTAGAAGCCCGTGTTTTCCGCAGTTTGTTGTGCTCCCTGGCAAGCTCCTTCACAGCCTTGCCGTGTGAATCCATTGCCTTAGACAAGGCATCCTGAGTCCTAATGATCTTTTCCTAGTTCTCCAGGATCTTCCTCAATGTGTCCTCAATGGACTGTGGAATCTGTACTGGCTGTGGTGCTGACTGAGCCGCAATTGTAGAAGATAGTGTAGACGACTTGGATGACGCAGCTGACATCCAGTTGTTCAAGCTATGAAGTGCCTGGCTCAGTTGGTGGGCAGTGATAGGATGGGCCCGAGAAGATGGAATCCCCGGGCCAGCTGAAGTAGAAGGACCAGCAGTAGTGGAGGGCCCCGGAGGCAACTCAACAGTGGTGGAGGGAGGCTCAGTTGAGGGCTCTACCGCAACCGACTCTTCAGACTGGCCAGTTGGAGCAGAGGCAGGCGGCTTGTAATTCTTGTCCTTGGGGTTGTCCAACCCTTTCAAACTGTACCATGAAAACGGAGCCACAGGGTTGACCTTGATATCTAAATCTCTCTTCTCCACCTTTAGGTCCCGGAAATACATAGTGAGGGTGTTGGGAAAAGGATA